CGAGCAGTAAAAACTACATTTTATGAAAATTGTTCTTTGTCCTCTTATTTATGTATCTTCTTTTAAAAGGTGCAGTGTGTAGAATCTTGTGATATCTAGTGTTGAAGTGTTGCAGCTGAACACCCCTCACCTAACCTTTCCCTTCCAAACATGAAAAAGAAACTGTGGTAGCTTTAATTGTCATAAAAACTCAAAAGGTGTTTAGTTTGTCCAGTCTGGACTAATGTAAAAAACATGGCTGCCTCCATAGAGAGGGTCCCCTCGATGTCAATATAAAGTATTTGAATATAAAGGGACTTTTCTGGGGTAAAGAAAACTACAATTCATACAATTTAGATGAAATGAACTAGTGAAAACATCATGAGGATTATTCTACATTAAATTTCTGCCAATAGATCCCTTTCACCTAAATCTTACACACTGGACCTTTAAATAGAACATTAGTGGGTGATTGAAGAGTGTTTATCAAAGGAACCTTAGCTAAGGATGGATTCTCAAAACTCTGATGGTTTTATTCTTTGCAGTTTTTATTTACACCTGCTGGTGCAGCATGAGGTCCGACCACAGACTGAATATAAAGATGGATGACTTGAATGCTTCCAAAAGTGAAGCCAAATCATCTGGATCTAGATGTAAAAGCTATAAATAGCAGTTTGATCTAAACCCTCATCACTGTGACATTTTCTGACAACAGTGAAAAAGCCTTTTTTCATTTCCTTACATTGGGCTCCCCTGGTTGCTTGTAAAATGTCGACTTCCCACAGACAGAATCGTGTCCATGCATTTATACCTGCGTCTCAATGTGAGCATTTATTCTCTCCCCTCACCCATGAAAAGGGAATAAGATGAAAACATGCGTGGTTGTATGCGAGACATGCATGTGTGTGTGTGTGTGTGTGTGTGTGGGGGGGGGGGGCTGTCCGATAATAGTCCAATTGCAAACAAATTTCAACAAACACCGAGCTTCTCCCTTCACACACAAGTAAATGCAATACACACAATCATATTTAAATGAAGGCGAGAAGACATGGAGGAGAGGAGACAAATAGCTTGAAGCTGTTGGGGGGGGGGGGTTTGATTTACATGCTCTGTCAATTCCCTGTTGCTGGCCCGACATGCATAATTCATCCATTTTATTGACTGCTGGGGAATTCTATTAGGTGATAGTGATACTCCCAAGAACAAAAGATGACGGTTCTTTTCATGAGCGTCTCAGGGCCAGTGTGTGTGTGTGTGTGTGTGTGTGTGAGAAATCCAAAGGCCTGTCATCTCGGTGCCGCTCACCTGGGGACGCCGTCAATGACTCGCAGGGCATTTGCCAAGAACGGATTTTCAGCATGTTGACCGGACGGCTTTGAGTGTTAATATTCTGTTATCGCGTTGCTGGGTTTAATCAGAATGAATGGTGAGCTTGGTGTCCTTGGCAATAAATTCGCTCGGAGCCTAAATGAATCTGAGGCAGGGACCACGACGCTGGTGAATACGTAAGAAGCACAATAAGCCCTGGTGTAATGGATACAGCGTTATTAATCTTTCTGGGTGAGGAAACCTAAACTGAGATATTTCACACACTTCTTAATGAGACAAAAAAATCTATATATTAACTTATTGCTGGTATCAGACTATAAATTGTAATGGAACCGCAAAAGCAAAAGTCAAAGTTATGTCTAATGGGTTTAATCCAAATGTAAGAAATTAATGCTTCAGGACATGTAGCAGAAGACCGAACAAATGAATGCACATTTCCATCAGCCACTGAATATTGGGTATTGGTTAGTCAAGATAAACAGCTGGCGGCGCCGATTCTCCAGTCGTGTGTCATTACGAATCACAGCAGAAGAAGTAATTTAAGAGGCCAGGTCAGAAACAATGTAGAAAACCTGATTCAAACGAGGAACATATAATTAATTTATGATTAATTTAAGTCACGTCAACAGCTTCCTCATCGTTCAATACAGATCTGTGTCTTCTCATGTGCTGCTTCAGTTTCTTTCTCTTCTTCAGTCGACTTCACGTGATGTGATCCATTTTAAATCTGTTTCTGTTGCACATTTTTGCCTTTATTGATGCACCAACTGTTCCCACTTCAGCGAAGTGTAACAACTTTTTGTGATATGTCTATTTTCAAACGTCTGACATTTCGTCTGAGGCTGTTTTTTTAATGTCCATATTGATAAGGACAACAGCACCTGGGACGCCTCGCTGTGTCCTGACAGAAATACTTCACACTTTTGATGTCGTCTCTTTCCACAGCAAGTGCTTGTGACTGCAACCCACAAGTGGGCGTACGGCAAAGCAAAAGAGGACATTTTGTCTTATTTCATGTCAGTGTGCTTGTAACTATTTGAATATCATCTTCAGGAGGCGTCAGGAGCCTTGTACCAGATTAATCACACCCTCAGAGTCCCGGCAGAGAGAAGATGAATGGCTCCACGTCGTCTACTTTCATTCATAAAACTGGGTTTAAAATGTATTGTGGTGTCAGATTGGAAAAGTGAAGTTATACCTTCCCAATCACATGAGCTGTATTCAAAAGACTAGTAGGAATTACTGGTCATCACGATTATGAGATTGACACAGAACCTATACAAGGAGAATTTCAAAATCCAACTCTTCTGAATTTCCATATTGTGATTTTGCTCTGTCTCCATCTGTCATCAAAGATATCAAAGATATCAAAGAGTTTTATAAGAGTAAAGTTCTACATGGCGATACGGGCAGGTGATACAAAAGAAACAGCAAAGTCTGTCGTCTAAAGGTTACGAGGAGCATGCTAATGAGACTCTTCAAAGACTAAATCCAACTCATGACAGTAAAACTTTATATGACACGTTCTCAAAAGACGTTTGAAGGACTCCACTGTGTCCTCAAGTGCCTCAGAGGAGTCGGTCGGCTTGAGGAAAGACGAGATCAATTCATTGTATCATCCGGTCCAGTCTGTGAGCAGAGAAGACTTTTGGTTTTCAAACCTTGGGCCTATTCTCGTCAGGCAGTTGGACACGCTTATCTTTTTAAATGTGTCATCATGTCGCTCAGCTGAGTCCAGCAAACAAAGGAACGCTTTCTCTTGATGTCATGAGGTCGTTATAATCGTTTCTAATGCATGTTTGGAACGTGTCTGTGCACGCCTACGCCCGATTGTGGTATGAACAGAAGCGCGTCTGTCTGAGGGCAGAAAGCATGAATTGACCTTGACGGGGGAGAATTAGCCAATAATCTGTATTTTTCTTGAGACTACCACAGCATGGTTTCATGTTGCACTCGTTTTGAATCACCTGCATTATCTGTCACTCTTTCTGTTATTGCAAACACAGACGGCGTGAGAGAGAGAAAACAAGAAGAAAGAACGATCGTGATGATCCCCACTGTCGGCGAGTCACCGCGTCTGCAACTGGTGGCTCTGACACATCTTGATAAACTTTCATCTCATGCCTGCAGCTGCGGTGTTGCCACTTTAAAGGCCCCGCTTGCGCTTCGCACCAAAGACCAATTAGACACTCTTCAGATTCCTCTTTCCCTCACACTGCACAAAGCACCCATTTTTTTTAATTGACAGCGACTCCTCTATCTCTTGAAATGCCTGAGAGGGACAGGAGACTCTCAAGGAGAAAGTTCCGCTGCTATTCTTTCTAATTGTTGATGTCGTATTCAAATCAAAAGGACGGTCACAGTGATGTATTCGTCACACAATCCGTCCCTGCTCCTGAAGGCAGGGGGCAGAGGGGTCCACTTCAATATAGCAAAGACCTCCCTGGATGTTCGGAGTGGGCTTGCTAATTACAAACAGAGACACCTGAGGGGGGGGTCAGGTGCGCACACTGGGTAGTGTTTTGTAATTAATACGAGGTAGATTAATAAGTACCTTTTTACCCAGCTCCCCCTGGAGGTCAGAGTTAATCATGGACAATTCCATATGTGTTACAGACATTTAACTTCAAATGTGCTGCTGCATTTAGAACTGGATGTTGGAGAGTGTAATGATATTCAAGCTCATACCACACCGGAGCCTTGCGGTTACCAGCGTGATGACCTTACATTTAATTTCACTCGAGGCAGGAATCCCATTCCAGGCGAGATTTAGATGAACGAGCCCCATTTCAACTCTTTTCTCTCGACCCCACATGCTGCAAAGTTATTATTCCACAGGAGCGATACACAGGGGTTAGGTAAACAAAGTGCTTCCTTAATTGGTGAGAATCAAACTTCCCATGTCGAATGCAATTCTCTCCTGAGGGATTTGAGCCGCTGTGCCTGAGCTAATGAGAGCCAGAGGAGTGAGAGCACAGGCGCTGTGACACTTTCTCCTGGCTCTTAATTTGTGAACTTCCTCCTTAGCTGGCAAACCTGCAGCCTCTGTCTCCCAGCTGAAGTGGCTCTGTTAGCACATCCAGGTTCTCCCCCCGGGGCTCTCTGGGTAGCGGTGGCAGAATAGCATTAACACCTCGGGGTGCAGGAGCCAAAACTAAGAGGTGAGCTTCTGGAGGCCAGAGGCAGCGGGTACAAAGGAGCAAACATTACAGGTTTGTGTTGCTTTTCAGAAGCAAGGAATGTGTGGGAGCCGAACACAACACACAGCGGTGAATGACTTCAGAGCGACTACAGGCAACTGTGATGGGAAAGGAGATTTTTGAAAGAAATCTATAAAAGCACAACAGTCCGGCTTTCTGTGGGTTTCAACAAGTTCAATTTAAGACTTTTTAAGACCACAATGGATGAAATTGAAGACTCATCACAAGGAAATATCATAGTCCAAGAATTTCTTACACTTCATTGAAGATAAAGTGAAGCAGCCAAGTAAAGATGCTCTGTGCTCTCCGAATTCATTCAATTGGTCCTTCCTAACTTGTAACTATAAAGGTGTTCTATAAATAAAGTGCATCTCTAAGAATTTTATAACTGTAGACTTTTGTGTACCCAGAGAGAATCTGTAGCATTTTAGGGCATCTTGGTAAAACCGATCAGATTGTTATGCAACATAGTGCTCCACTTAATGTCCATACCTTTCTTCCAGCAGCTTGTCTCCCAGCATCCAGCGGACGTGCGGCGCAGGGAAACCAGAGACCACGCAGGGCAGCAGCACGCTGTTTCCCACCACCTTGTTCACAGCCGCAGGCTGCACCAGGAACTCCGGCTTCCTCTCCTCTTCAGTTTCTTAGATGGGAGTAAAAAAAAAAAAGGGTGAGGGTTATGGCTGAGGTTAAGGTCGGGGTGAGTTAACCAAGCAGAGCAGCAACCTCCAGGAGTCATCCATCTTAAAAACTTCAGAAAGAAGTCACGTCTGAGGGGCGGTCGCTCCTGAGACCAAGAGCGAGAACGGTCGGATGAGTAATGTCCACACTGACGTCTGAGACAGCTGAAGTCTCCGCTCTTTAGAGGTTCAACCAAATGTCTTCAAATCCTGCAGCTACCAGGAAATGTGTGACCCCTGAATATACACAGTACTACAGCTAAGAAACTGTAATAATTCCTTAAAGCCTGAAACAGGATTTAAACTGGAGACAGATATGTATGAAATCATTTTAATCTCCATTACTCAGGGTCTCTTTCCAAAGTTACCGCATTTTCAAGCTGATCTGTGGCAGTTTCATCTGGTAGCATCCAAACAAACAGCAACAGAGATAAACACCCCCACTGAGCTCTCGTTGGTCTGATTTATGATCCATGATATCTATTCTGAGGACTGAACTAAACATGAATTTAGATTTACTGCACAAGATTATTCTATTGAAGCCTAGAAGCTCAAATATGACTGCACTGTAGAATCATAGAAATCTGATCTCAGTTTTTGGCTTAAATTATAACACTCATCTATTTTCTAAATGATCAACATTCCAGTCCTTGGTTTTCTCGACTCACCTGGCAGTATTCGGAGCTGGGCCTCGTCGCTGGCCTTGGACGATCCCACATTCTCCACCAGACAGCGGTAGAGGCCAGCGTCCGCCTCCGAGGCATTGTTGATCACAAGGGCTCCACTTGGCAGCTGAAGCAACCTGGGGCTCAGCTCCAGTGGCTGACGGTCTTTCTCCCACCGAGTGAAGGGCACCAGATCGGAGTTGACCTCGCACGCCATCACCTGACTGTCCCCCAGACGCACCGTGGCCGGTGTTGGCTGGCTGGCAAACCGGGGCATCCCTGAAAGACACAAGGAGGGTGTAGAACCATGAGCTCTCAATGTGCAATTTTCTCTACATAGACGCTGACCTGCACATGGGACAGTGAGACAGTAATAATCCACAGAAGAGCTACGCCAATTTCAACCCACATAAAAAAACCTCCAAGGAGAACTGATGCTATTTTAGAGGCAAAGAGAGGCTGCAACAAAATATTAATTTAATTCAGTTCATTTTTTATGTTTCCAGCACCTTGAGTGAAGGTAACGAATAAATGTGAATTATTCATGATGATTATTTTTGAAAGCATCCTCACTTTACTTTTAGTGCCTCACACATTTGCACATCACCGCCTGTGCACCAGTCGAAGTTTGGCCACATGTGATAACAGCCAACGATGTGTTAGCTGTCAATCAAAGTGATCAAACCAAACCCACAGGGTCCTAATGAAGCAGATTAGTCGAGGTTTTTGTGAATTCTTTATAAATATGACCGGTTTTTCTTATTACTTTGTGAAGTGTGGCATATTGTTCTGTGGGTTTTTTAATCAGCCAACTGATAAATCGGTCAGGCTCATATTTAAACATGATGAAACTAAATACATTTCAGATTCACTGAAAATATAATAATAACATAATATAATTATTTCCAAGATTCGGATTTTAAAAACATAATTTAAAAATATCACAAAACATATATGGACATTAAGTCTAATGGACAACTGCCAATTGGAAGTAACATTTTAAAATTCATATTCAGAATAGATTCTCAGTAGAAGACCACGCCCGACCTCCTGCACACAAAAACCCTGAAACATGCACAGACACACAATCAACCGCACACGTTGCTGTAGCACAATCGCTTATCCTCGATGGATGGATGTTAATTTGCTTTGCGGAGCAGGAGATACACAGCACTAATTAAAAAAAGGCAGAATCCACAGGCTGTTTGTGCGTCTGTACCCCGACTTTCATCTCGACGCGAAATAATTATTTCCTGTGTTTGAAGCCACTGATCTAAAACCAACGCTCGCACGTGGAGTTAGGGGGGAAATAATCGAACAGTCGGGTTTCAATAAAAAAAATTAAAAAAACGCACAGTGTGGAAACTGCAAATGTTAGTGTTGGGGTTTATAAGTGAAGAAGGAGCAGTTGTTTTTCAAAAGTCAGACAGCCACTGAATCCATCGTCAGTAAAAAGAATATCATGCTGTGTTATTGCCATGGAGGGCCTCTCGAGTTTCTGGGCTGATTGTGGTTGTCTCCTTGGTAATGTGTGTGTGTGTGTGTGTGT